GTCTGCTTCCAGTGTGGAGAATGTACTGTCCCAAGCTTCACGGATTTTGTGCAGCTGTTTTCAGAGATACTTCTAGTGACCTGTAAATTTTCAGTTTTTCCAAGGTGGTGCAATCAGGGGCTAAGCATTTACTCCTTTCCTGGCCTATGCTCTGGTCTATGAGTGACCACAAGCACTCTTTTCTGCCTTGGAATCAAGAGGATTCCCTCTTCACCACCACTACAAACTCCACCACACCAGCAAGCTTTCTCACCACAGGACCACCACCCAGTACTATGACCCAGATCCAAGCACAGGCAAAGCAAGAGAATCCTGCCTCAGCACCAGCAAAGAAATCCCTGTAATCTCCCTCTGATCACCCACTTGATTCCCCCTCAGTCTGTGGGCTAGAAGCTCCAGAAGCAGCTGATGCTCTGGGGCTGTGCCAGGACTGGGGCTGGGACCAAGCTTCTCTCTCACCTTGGTCACAGACTTTTCCTACTGACCTTCTAAGTTCTCTTTGGTGTTTATGGGTTGAGAAGTCTGGAAACCAGCACAGTTGCCTGTGATTCAGTCCCCTGAGGCCTGCTCCAGGTTTGCTGAGGCCTGTTTTGGCTGTGCACCCACACTGACCTGTGACAGATCTTTCCAATTAACCATCCAGGTTGTCTTGGGCTGGAAATTTGTTTCACTCTGTCTTTTTGTGGGTTCTGCTGCTTTAGAATTTGTTTAGAGCCATTTTTTACAGGGATTTGGAGGGGTTTAGGAGAGAGCTCAAGCAAGTCCCTGCTTTTACTCTGCCATCTTGGCTCCACCCCACCTTGTATCACTTCTTCTAACCTCCATGTGAGCACCTGCCTTGTGTGAGTTTTCCATAAAGTAGTCTTTTAGGCAAACGCATGTTTGGCATTTGGGCTACATTGCCAGCTCAACAGAGTTGCACTCTTTGCAGCAGAGTTTGAATGCTTGGTAGTTTAGCTCGAGAAATTACCAGGTGATCTTCAGAATCTTTCTAAGACAATTCAAATGGAATCATTTTAGTTTCCTGGCATGGCACTGGTTAGACTGTCCATGTTTCACGGGCATACAACAATGAGGTCAGCACAGCAGCTCTGTAGACCTTCTGTTGGTTGTCTAATACCTCAGAGAACTGATCTGTACTCTGTTGCATCTCAGCCTCAGAGGATGCACTGAGTGCACAATCATCTGCAACCAAAAAATCATACACCAACACTCCCTCCACTTTAGTCTTGGCTTATAGCCCTTTCAAGTTAAATAATTCACCATCAGTGTGGTGGCTGACCTTGATGCCATGTTCATCCTCATTGAAGGCATCTGACAACATGGCTGAAAACATCATGCTAAAAAGCACAGGAGCAAGCACACAGCCCTGCTTCACTCCATTGGTGACTGAGAAAGTGCAAGAGCATCGCCCATTCTCTAGAACCTGCGCAAGCATGCCTTCATGGAACTGGTGTACCACACTGAAGAACTTCACCAGGCAACCAAATTTAGCCAGGATTTTCCACAAGCCCTCACAACTGACAGCATCAAAGGCCTTGGGCAGATCGACAAATGTTGTGTACATACTGCTATTCTGCTCCTGGCATTCATCTTGAAGTTGTTGGGCAGCAAACACCATATCGACCATTCCTTGGCCCTTTCTGAAGCCACAGTGACTCTCAGGTAGATGACCATCTTCCGGGTGAAGGACTAGTCTATTAAGAAGGACTCTGGCAAGAATCTTGCCAGCAATGAATAAGAGAAAGAGACTGCACCCCCACCCAATTGTCACAGGACAACCTATTTCCTTTTTCTTTATATAGATGGACAATGGAGGCAACCTTGAACTCTGCTGGTTGGGGGGGAATTACCTCCTCTTGCCATATAACCCAGAAAATTTCAGTCAGCTTTTGTATGAACAGTGGATCCCCATCTTGTAGATCTCAGCTGGAATGCTTGCTTTGCCACATGAGAGGAGCCCAATGACATTCAAAACCTCTTCTTCAGTTGGAAAATATGGCTAGAAAGGGATTGACTTCAACCTGCGTCAATGGCTTCCTCATTGGTTGATGACCGTCTGTTGAGAACACAATGCAAGTATTCAGCCCACCTCTCCAAGATTACATCCTGGGGCAGCTAGGTGGCACAGTGGATAGATCACCAGCCTTGAAGTCAGGAGGACCTGAGTTCAAATCCAGCCTCAGACCAAACACTTCACATTTACTAGCTGTGCGACCCTGGGCAAGTCACTTAACCCCAACTGCCTAAAAATATAAAAAAAACAAAAAACCAAAAAGAAAACAAGATCACATCCTTACTCCTATTGGTTCTAATTCTTACTTACAACATCACTAATGTGAACATGTTTAATAGGAATGTATATGTATAGCCTATATTAGATTGTGCGCCATCTTAGGGAGGGTGGTCGGGAGGAAGGGGGAGAAAAATTTTAAATTCAAAAGCATATGGAAGTGATTGTTGATAAATCAAAATAAATTAATTTTAAAAAATCACATCCTTATCACTAAGCAATGTGGCTCCATTAGCACTGGGTAGTTGAGATGCACCATACCTCTTTGGCCTATAAATAGCCTTCAGGGCATTATAAACACACTTTGTATTGTTACTATCAGCATAAAACTGAATTTCATCTGCCTTCTTAGGGAGCCAAGAATCCTGCATCTCTCTATACTTTCATTGCCCTTTACCTTTTATGCAATTAAATGCTGTCTTCTTAGAGATGAATGAACTGTCCTGCTGGTAAACCCTGTGTTCTCCTTTTTCATTTAGCAGCTTCTGAATTTCCCCATCATTCTCACCAAACTAGTCTTGATGGCCCAAATGAGTAAATTCAAAGCTGTACACCAAATCTCTGAAAGATGCCCGTACCTTTTCTGCTCCACTGCTGCCAATCGTGTTGGCTCAGTTTTCACAACTGTCCCCATTCAGTGAAGTGCTCTGATCTGCTGACATTAAGTTTTCTGATAGTAGCCTTGCTTTGGGACCACCGTTTTTGTTTAATTCGAGTATTTAGCTTGGAGAGGATAAGTCTATGGTCAGTCCAGCACTCTGCATCACACATTGCCTTCATCACTCTCACATCCTGTCTCCTTACAATGACATAGTCAATTAAATTCCAATGTTTGCTTTGGGGGTGCGTCCACAAAACTGTATCGTGTTTAGGTAAATGGCAGACAGTGTTGGTGATGAGAAGGTCATGAGATGCCCAAGTCTTTCAGTAGTGACCATTGCTGTTGTTTCCAACTCCATTCCTCCCTAGGACTCCCCGCCAAGTCTGGCAGTCTGAGCCTACTCTGGCATTAAAGTCACCCAGAATTAGAAGCTTGTCCTCTTTGGGCCCATTGATGATAAGGGCCTCCGGGTCTTTATAAAATTTTTCTTTGACCTCATCAGAATTCTCCATGGTGGGAGCACAGGCCATGATGGTGGCGTGACATTTCCCTGCAAGTGGCAATCTCATTGTCATGGCCTGTTGTTCCCTCTTTTTGGAAGGCATACAAGCTTATTGACCAGGTTAGTTTTGATTGCAAAACCTACACCAGCTTCACAGCCCTCCCCTTCACTGCAGCTACTCCAGAAAATCGTCCATCCAGCTCCAACTTCACTAAGCCGGCCTTCCTCAGAACTGCACTTTGGATGCAATACCTGCTCTCTCAACAAGAGCTATTTGTCTTTCAGGTCTGCTGGATTTTGTTATACTTAAAGCATGCACACATTCCACGTGCTGATGGATGGTGAACGGAATCATCTTTACTGTTGTTTTTGTACATTTTGGGGTGTGTTTTGACCTCAGGGTGGGATCTCTGCCTGCCTTGGAAATCAGGACAGGGTTGGATAAGCAGACCTTTTTTTAGGGCACCTTTTCTAGACCCTTCCTCACACCAGGGAGTGAGCAATTTGATCCTATGAGACCAGGTTGGGGCCTCTTCAATGGCCAGCCTGGGACCCCAGCTAGAGGGGCCCAGAAGTCTTAAGGGCCTCAAATACGTTATAATTTCTGTCTGTCCTTACCTCCCCCAAACACACACACAAAGGAGCTGACAAACCTTTCAATTGAGGAGGGGTAAGCAAACCAGGAAACACTTTTTCAGCCCCCCCCCCCGCCCCCAATCACAGCCTGTCCAACACTGCCCTGTCTCCTTCCCAGGAGGCCACCACCAGGGTGGCTGGTTATCCTGGGATGGCCCTGTGGGCTGGGGGAGGGAAAGTTCAGTTGACATTGGCCAGGTAAGGACAAACATTTTGCTTTTCTCCCCCGTCCCCCCCCAACAGCTGCTTTGATGCCTCAAGGCCCCAGAACAGGAGTTGATTGAGGAGGGAAGGGTGAGAGAATGAACAAGCACATTTTCCAGAAGGCAAACAGCAGAGCTCCCTCCCATTCTCACTGAGTGGCCCCTCCTCCTGGCCCAGCTCCTAGCTGCCACGCAGCCAAAGGGGACAAGAGATTTCACTCTGAAATAGGAACCGTCATCTCCCACCTCCCTCCTCAGCATGGAACAAAATCCCAATCAGGGTGTGGGAGAGCCCCCAGACCAGGGTGGCCAGGAGTAGAGCAGGGCCTTGACTAAAGTAGATTGGGGCAGCTTCCCCTAGGGTCAGGCTTCCCCCTTCCTGCCTAAGTCTACCAAATCCTGCCAAGGGCACCTGCTCTGGCTTCCCTGAGACCCTTTGTGTCCTGGGCTGCCCCAGACCTGGCAGCTGCTCCCTCCTTTCTCACCTCCATCTGAGACTCGGCTCAAATATCCTCTCCGCTTCCTCCAAGGCCTTCAGGACACCCCCAGTCACTAGCGTGCCCCCCCCATTACTGGATCTTAGGTTCACAGACTAAAGAGACGGAAGAGACCTTCGAGGCCTCCTAGGGCAACCCCCATATTTCACTGGGATACAGCCAGGACTGGCTTACCTATCAACATCTTGTCTTCCCCTATAGAATACATGCACCTGGGGGGCAGGGCCATTTTTTATCCCTTCACGTAGCACAGTGTCTTTCACATAGCAAGCACTTAATAAGTGTTTGTGAAGGTGAAGTCTTTTATTTATAGATGTTCTAAAAGCCACAGTACTATTTGGCCCTGCAGAGGCTGGGGGTCCCAGGCAGCCTGCACGCAATGCTTCACGAGTTCCCGTGGCCAAAGGCACCCCGGGACACCAGGGGATTCCACCTGTCTGAGGTGGAAGCCTTTCTAGCCTGGCAAAGCTGTCAGTCAGCTCCTGTGTCAGGGGCAGTGGAGGCTCCTGGAGCCCCGGGCATGGCCGGTGCCAAAGTCCAGAGTCTTCCCAGGGAGGCCCAAGGACCCCCATGGCCTCATGACAGAGACCACAGGGGACACCGGGTTCCGAACCTTCTGGTGTCCCCCAGGGCCCCCCCAACCGCAGGCTCCCCAGGTTGCTCTCAGCAAGAAGCCAGCAGCCCCCCCACACACACACACCGTTCTCTCCGGAGAGAATGCCGGGCCCATTTCCTTTAGGAAAACGGGCCGCCAGAACTGCCCAGGCCCAGGATGGACTAAGGGCAAGAGGAACACCGAGGGAAGAGAGGGAGCCCTCCGAAATGGCCAGTCCCCGTCCGTCCCCATCCCCCACCGTCTGGCCCTGGGGGGGCTGCTGCCGGTCATTCACACAGTGACCTTCTGGATCACACTCTCAGTAACATGGACTTCATCGGTCTGGACAGTGACTGTGGCTGACTGACCACACATGTGCTGGTGTTCCTTCCAGTCCTGCAAGGAGAGAACATAGGAGGGCTGCTCTTAGAATCAGGAAAGGTGCAGGGAAAACAGCCTGAGATTCTACATCGAGATGGGAGCACAGAGAAGACCGTGCCAGGCCCAGGCCCTGCCCTCAACAAGCTTCCACTCCATGGGGGACTCCAACAAGGACCTGTTCGAGGGCTTCGGGGAGGAGGGAAGGAAAGGCTGTCATCCTAAGAGCTCTGTGCCAGGGTCACAATGCTGGCCAAGGTCTGAGGCCACAGCAGGCAGCTGAAGCGAGCCTTGAAGGAGAGAACATTCCAGGCAGGAAGGACGGACAGGGGAAATCAAATCTAGGAGGTGGCTAGAAGGCAGCACAGGCCAGCAAGACCTGAGTTCAAATCCAGCCTCAGACACTCACTAGTTCCGTGATCGTGGGCAAGTTTGTGTCGATTTCCCTCCCAGGGTTGTCATGAGGACCCATGAGATGGTATCTATAAAGCGACTCTCAGACCTTAAGGTGCCACTCCCATGACTCTCCTGGGGGATTAAACACCACACAGAGGAGTCGGTCTGGAGGAGCGATTTGGTGGGCAGTGCACCTCTATGCGTGCTCCGCCAGCTTTGAGAGAACTAAGCACACACATGTAGCCTAACTTCGCTTGTCTCAGAACAAATGCGGCTCCAGCTGACCAATGTTGTCTCCCCTGGGGGTCTGTGAGCCTGCTGACCCCAACCTCATGGGCACTGACGGACCATTTGCTGACCGACTGTTAGAAAGCCGTCTTCATGAGAACCTTGGAGACTGGCTGCGGTACCAGCGCTCACATGCCCATTTCACAAACGTGCAGACTGTGGCTGAAACACGTGAATGTGGACTCCAGGAAGCAAACCCACATCTTACGTGAGTCCCAGGCCAGGAGTCTAAGCCCACCAGTGACCACCATTTACTTCGGGTACCCACAACCCCACAACAGGAGGAAATCTCCCCTCTCTGAAAAGATCTATTGCTACTGACCTAAATCACCCTGGATGACTCAGACAGCCCTTTAAATCCAAGGGTAAAGTGGAGACTGCCTTAGTCCCAGAACACTGCTTCAGTGGGCTGGATTCGGGGTGGGGCCAGAACCCACAGACTTGGTCTCAGCAGATTCTCAGCTGGGAGGATAGCCCCCAGGGCCACAAGCCTTCCTACAGTTTGAAGGACAAGTTTAAAAAGCATATCCCTCTGACCCTGCCCCCCTCACTCAATCCCACTATATTCTCCAGAAGGGAAGAGCTATCCTTCTCCCATCCCCCACTCAAAAACCAAGTTTTAATTGCTGGAAGGTAGGGATCTTTCCAAGATCTCCTCAGCGTTAACTGGGCAATAAGAGGGTGATCGATGATAGGGAAATGCACGGGTAAACACTCTTATCTCTCTTCACTGCTTACAGATAAGGCAATTAGGCCTGAAAGGGTCCTGACCAGCAGAGTAAGGTAAGAGTCCTTCGGCCGGATGGCACTGTCTGCTGCCTGAGCAGGGCTAATGATCTTCAGTGGGGCCACCCGAAGGATTTTATTGATTCTAAGTTAGCAACACGTGGCAGGAAGACAACCTAATCTAGGTCACTCCTGAGCCGGGCAAGGAGCCAGTGTCCCAGAGGCGGCTGCCGAGGAGCCTGGGGGCCCTTGCTGGGAGGAGAAGCGAGGGCCAGTTACCTTGCGCTGGCAGAAAGTAGAGCAATAGTTGACCTTGTGGCAGCCGGTGCACTCATTCATGGCTTCTCGGCCACAGTTGACACAAGATTGCTGGAAAATGGAAAAAGGAACTGAGTGAGCATTAGCCTCTGGAGCAGAGCTTTAGGAAATGGGATGGGGGCCCCCACCTTCCTGTTCTGGGCTCCCCTCAGCAGACTGGGGACTTGAGGCAAGGGAAGGGTCCTTTCACCAGTGAAGTGAGTGAGGCTGCCACTCCCACCCAATTCGGACCAAGGACTTCCTGAGAGTTCACAGTTCCGTGTCTATATAAAGAAAACAAAGAGCTGCCCCTGCTCTCTGGGGTCCAGAGACACTGGCACTGGTGGGGGAACCTTTCTCAGAGTGCACAAACACATACAGAATTACCAAGGAAACCACCTGGATTGACTCTAGCAATCAATACATTAAATAGAACAGGCTCAAGGTCCCAGCCTAGAGGATGACTTACCCAACGAGCTGGCTGTTGGCATGCCAGTTCAAACTACTTCATGTGCTATTATTCCCATGTGACAAAGAGGAAATGGAGAAGAACTGGGCAGGATCGTGGGGTGGGCAGTGTACATGTCAGGGCAGGGTCTTGGAACCTCATTTTTAAAAAATTAAATTTTACTTTATTTTAAGGAAGATTGACCTTCTCTCCCTCCCACTCCAACATCCCTTCTCCTCAACTGCCAAAGCAAGAAAGTGAAAGCCTAGTCATCATTTACAGCATTTTCCATATGGCTTTTGGGGCTTGGGTTTCATCTCTGAAAACTGCTTGTTCGTATCCTCTGACCTTTTAGTAATTAGTGGATGGCTCTTCTTGTTAGAAATTTTAGTCAGTTCCCTATATATCCCAGAATTGAGACCCTTAACTGAGAAACTTGCTGCCAAGATTCCTCTCCTGCCCCCTTCCCCTTTACCTGTTCCTCTCTGCAAAAGTCTCTAAAGTGGTCTGGAATCAGAACTGCCCATTTTACTTCTGATCCTCTCTAACCTTCGTCTGGTCCTAATCTTCCTCAGTTCAGAGATCTGACAGGGCGTTTCCTCTGTGCTCCTCTGCTTTATGATATCACCCTTTGCATGTAAGCCATGTGTCCATTTGGAGCTGGTCTTGGTAGATGGTGCCACATGACACTCTTTGCCTAGTTTCTACCAGGATGCTTCCAGTTTTCCTAACAATCTTTGTCAAATAGTGAGTTCTTGCCCCAATCCCTGGGATCTTTGGTTTTATCAGACACAACGCCACTGTGCTCATTAGCTTCTGCACATTGTGGACCTCATCTGTTCCACTGATTCACCTATTTCTCAATGAACCTTGTTCTTTTGATTCCAAGATTAGGCACCTGTTCACTGTGTCATGCATGCTGCCTCATCCCAACTTACCTCCACTAAATTAAATAATGGAAGATGAACTTCAGATAAATTTCAGAAACAGAGCCAGCACTTAGAGGCCCTCTACTCCAGATCCCCTACTTCACAGAAGAAGCTGGCTCTGAAAGGTTAAAGGATTGATTTGTCCAAGGTCACCCAGGAAGCAGCAGAAATAAATGCTATCCTCTGACTCCAAACCTGTCAGTCTTTCCTCTGTACCATGCAAGCTCTCCCAAGCACAATCATTTCACTGCTGAAGTCTTCACACTTAGTATCCCTCCATGGCAGTTTCCTCTGAGAATTTTACTGACTCAACGTTTTCATTCCTGAGTATGTCTGTTCTGGGGCCAAGTCCAAATAAAGACAAAATGAAGGCTAACAAATCACTTTGATTTTCCTTGTTTTTCTCCATTCACTTCACAAAAGTAAAAGTCTCTGTGTCAGTCACTCACTGTTTGGTTCTCACTGTTTCTGCCTTTACACAGAACCTTCCCATAAAAAAGCAGTCAAGTGTTTCGGTAACAGAATGTCCACTTGACTGCAAGAAATAACATGCTGCCTTCTATCTCAGGAATTAAATTGATTCCCCATATTTGATCTCTTCATTCTCACACTCAGTAAGGCCCAGGGTTTGGGGCTGAGCTTGGACCACAGATGGCAAGGACTGGGCCAGTGTGGCGGTCCTCTGGGCTCCACACCCGGTATGCAGCACACAGGAAGGCCCATGGCATGAGGGGTACGCCATGTGAAAGGGGATGGGGTGGACAGTGGACTTCTGCCGAGGAAAGAAGTAAAAAAAAGGAACCAGCTTTAGCCATTTACTCAGAGGTGAGGTTTGAAATGGTGACTTGAAAAGCCACATACTCTCCCATGCCTTGACATTCTGATGACTCTCAAGGTTATCACTGATGGATCAATCAACACTAATTAAGCACCTACTGTGCACCAAGTGCTGGAGGCATAGCCCTGGATCTGGTCATCAATGTCCCAGGCTCAGCACTCAGCACATGCCTCGGCACTGACTAGACACATGACGCATGCTGCTTGTCTGCCTAACCGAAGGAGAAGAAAACCTTTTCTTTTCTTCTCCTTACCCTTTGGGTCACGGATGATTTTGGTACTTCTGAGACTGGGGCATCTGATTTGACTAAGCCAGGACTTAAGCACCCTTTTGTTTCAGGCACTGAATGAGGCTCTGGGGACCCAAAGACTAAACCAGACACTGTCTCTGCCCCCCCCCCCCACACTCACAGTACAAGGAACACTGTGGGGCGGGGTGGGGAGACAGACAGAAGAGGGGGTAGGGACAGAGAGATGGGGAGACAGAGAAAGAAGGAGAGAGAGAGGGGAGGAGAGAGAGGGAGGGAGAGAGAGAGAGAAGAGGGGGTAGAGCCAGGGAGACAGGGAGAGAGAAGGAGAGAGGGAGGGAGGGAGAGAGGGGGAGAGAGAAGTGGGGGTAGAGAGACAGAGAGATAGGGAGACAGAGAGAGAAGGAGAGAGAGAGAGGGAGGGGAGAGAGGGAGAGAAAGAGAGAGAGAGGAGAGACAGAGAGAGAGAGGGAGGGAGAGAAGGAGAGAGGGAGGGAGGGGGAGAGAGGGAGAGAGAGGAGAGACAGAGAGAGAGAGGGAGGGAGAGGGAGGGAGAGGGAGAGAGGAACAGAGAGAGAGACAGACATAGCCAGAGACTGAGCTAAACAGAGGCCACCAGGAGAGGCCCCCTGAGCCTTGAAGGCCACAAGGACTCTGGGAGGTGGAAAGGCACAGAAGGGCTGAGCCTTTAGTCCAGCTGGAACATGGACTTGGCAGTGATGGGAAATGAGGCTGGAAGGGTAGGCAGGAGCCAGAGGAGCGGGTGGCCACTGACCGGATGGGAGGGCTGAGTGGAGGGTAACTCTGAAGTTTCCAGCTGAGCTGGGCTGGGCAGTTGACAGAGCCCCCAAGCACAGGGAGGAGGAAGGGCAGACGAGGGGACCCAGAGAAGGAGCTCAATCTTGAAATGCTGACATTGGGTGAACACCTGGAAGGACCACCTCTACTGGATGCTCACGGCACAGTAAGGAAAGCCCAACCTCAAACCCTGCTGTTCCTGGCCCACAAGCAGCAGCCCTCCCACTGCCCTACTGCTTCTCCCCTCTTCCTTCCCTCAACAATGCCCTCGCAGGGGCTGGACAGTCCTGCTGGTCAAGGCTGATGAAGGGAGTTCCTCACACCTCCCTCGTGTGAACACTTGCCCCAGGGCAGAGAGGGACAGAGCACCTCTGTGGAGGAGAGAAGGGATTTGCCCTGATGGGGTACATGACAGAGACACTGCACTGGAGAGTGTTTTGGGGGGGCCCAGGGCTCTGTCCCTTGGAAGCCACAGACACCCAGGATATTTGTGTTGTACGCCACCTTGCACCTTGCTCAGAGATGATCTGGAGGTGAGGTCAGGCCTCTTCTCTCAGGAGGAAAAGGAGAAGACTATACACACAGGCTTGTGCCCTCTCTCTGTGTGTCTGTCTCTCTCACCCCCCTCCTTCTCTCTCTCTCTCTCTCTCTCTCTCTCTCTCTCTCTCTCTCTCTCTCTCTCTCAGTTACTCTTTCTCTCTCTTCTCTCTTACTCACTTTCTCTTTCTCTCTCACTGTCTCTCCCCTGTCCTTCCATCTCTCTCCTCCCCCTGTCCCCATCTCTGTCTCTGTCTCTCTCTCCCCTCTCCTTCTCTCTCTCTCTCTCTGTTACTTTCTCTCTCTTACTCGCTTTCTCCTCTCTTTCTCTATCTCCTTCTCACTGTCTCTCCCCTGTCCTTCCACCTCTCTGTTCCCCCTCCCCCATCTCTGTCTCTCTCTCCCCTCTCTTTCCCCTCTCTTTCTCTCTCTTCTCTCTTACTCGCTTTCTCCTTCTCTCTTTCTCTTTTCTTCTGTCTCTCCCCTGTCCTTCATCTCTCTCCCCCCTCCCCCCTTCTCTGCCTCTGTCGCTCTCTCTCTCTCCCCACTCCTCTCTCTCTCAGTTACTCTTTCTCTCTCTTCTCTCTTACTCGCTTTCTCCTTCTCTCCTTCTCACTGGCTCTCCCCTGTCCTTCCATCTCTCTCTTCCCCCTCACCCCCATCTCTGTCTCTCTCTCCCATCTCCTTCTCTCTCTTTCTCTCTCCTCCCCCCACCTCCCACTCAGGTGTGAACACACCAAAGCTGAACTTAATAAGTTTCTTCTCCTTCCCAGCTTACCAGGCCCCAGTTACCCCTCACTCATCCTTAACACACTGACATCTTGACACAAAACCTAGAAATGCACTGAAAACGCAATCCTACTGCAGCAAAGGGCCGGGGTGGGAAGAGCGGGGCCAAGTCATGTAACTAATGCCTCTGAGGCCCATACTTCCTCATCTTTAAAGTGGGTAAAAGGATCTTGCTGATGTGAACGCAGCACAGAGATGTCAGTGATGATTCTGCACCAAAGGCCCCCCACCTCCAGGGTCCCCAGAGTCAGGCTTCCCCTTTCCCAGCCTCTGGGTGCGCCTGCTCTGCCCCATTTCAGCAGGAGAGCTTGTCCCACACAAGAGGCTGAGGGATTCAGAGGCAGCCAGGCCATCGGGATGGGCTGAGACAAGAGCGGAAGTCCGTGCAGGTGAGGCCTGGGGCCTATCCGAGCTAGCGTGCCGAAAGCACACCTGATTAAGCGCCTACTGTGTGCCAGGCACTGGGCTAAGCACTGGCTATACAAAGAGAGGTGAGGAAAGGACTGCCTTGGCCCCAAGGAGCTCACAGTCTCACCAGGGGACACGACACATTAATATCCATATAGGGTAAACTGGAGGTGATCTCAGAGGGCAAGTCACTTCACCCTGCTGACCTCCATTTCCTCATCTGTAAAATGAGCTGGAAAAGGAAACGGCAAACCACTCCAGCGTCTCTGCCAACCCCCAGATGGGGTTGAGGAGGGTTGGCCATGACTGAACAATAAAAAAAGGGCAGTAAGATTAGATAAATGAAAGGCGGGAGCACGTGCAAAGAGGAGCCAAAATCATCCGTGTCTGCCAATGGCTGATGTCTGACTCAACCCTGGAGAATGAGCGAGAAGGCAATCAAGATGGTGAGAAGGTCTGAGCTTCTCTATACAAGAGTGAATGAGAAGCGGGAGCTGCTGACACAACACAAGAGCTGGCCACCAGCACTACCCGTTGGCACATAACCGAAGGCCAGAGGCAGTGCTCATGGATGCCACCGGTCATGGAGGCCCGGCCGAGCTCTGAGCTCCAAAGGCTGTTGCTTTAGGCCGCCACTCCTTGTCAGCCGGGCGCCTCCTGCGTGTTCAGACTGCCCCACGTTCCAGTCTCACCTCTCCTAGAGCACCACCTCAGGTCCGGCTTTCCTCACCTCACCCTCGCCTCCTAATTGGTCTCCTCAATAACAGTCTTCCTAGACCACACATGTGACAATCACTTCTTTGCTCCACCGTCATCACTTCTAGGGTGAAACCACAAACTCCATGCCCCTCCTTCACCTCCTGGTTCCGGGTTCCCCTTCCTCTGAGAGATGCCTGAGAGAAGGCCAAGATCTCAGCCCAGTGTGTACCCACAGGACCTTCCACGGTCCTTTCCACTCCATCTCTGATTACCCCTTCCCTGAGGCTACCTCCTGCCTCTGATGACATCTTTGTGCACCACCCACACCCTCCCCTCTGCTTCTCAGAATCGCCAGGGCTCAGTTTGGGGCACCACATAGGAAAGCCTTCCCCGACCCCCAGCTGTTGGTGTCACCCAACCTTGTACTTCCCTAGGAGAGTGCAAGCTTCCGGAGGACAGGGAGGAGTGCTTGCCAAGTGAAAAGGGTGGGTGTGAATGAGTTGTAGCTGGTGTTGCCCCAACAAGGACACAGGTGAGCAGAAGGGGCTGCAGTCCTGTCCCCCCCACAAAAAAAAAAATCCAAAGGCTTAGAGGAAGGCCTCCCTCGCCCTGGGGAAAATCCCCAGCGGGATTTACAGATGGGAAGGGCAGCCGAGTGGTGCAGTAGATAAGAAGGCTAGAACTGGAGTCAGGAAGACTTGAGTTCAAATCCAGACAAGTCACTTCACCAAATGAGCCGGAGAAGGAAACAGCGAACCGCTCCAGTACCTTTGCCAAGAAAACTCCAAAAGGGGGGTCAAGAAGAGTTGGATATGACTGAACCCCAACGCAGGCTCATAATGACAAGTAAAGCAAAGGGTGGATTTGTCCTGAGGAGCTGCCACTGCCCAAAGGCCCACCCACGGAGGGCGCTGGCCTTACCTTGATGATGATTTCTGCTTTCCCTTCCACATCTTCAGCTGGCTGGAAGAGCTGGTTCTGATACTGGAACAAGGAGACATGGGCTGTATTTATTAGCACACCTAACACGGCCATGGCCAGCTGCGCACAAGGGACATGTCGGAGACATCGACAGCATTTCTCCTGGCAGGAGACCACCCCTCCCTGGGGCCATGGCCCTCCCCCTTCAGGTCAGCGCCATCCCTTCCAGGAGCATGGCCCACTCCAGAAAAGCCAGGTGGGCAATGCCACCACTCAACAGGCTGCTTCCCAGGGGCCAGTGATGGGAAGAGGGCGACGGAACCATTCTGATGGGATGGTGGCCGGCCGGAGCAACTGAATGTTCCTGCGGCGTATTTATTTATGAGAAGCACCGGGCCCTGGGAAGAGATGCAAAGACAGAAGAGAAAGTCTCTGCTCCTATGGACCCCGCGTTCCAACAGGAGACCACAGGTACCCCACTAAGTACACACAAAGTAAACAAAGGTCACTTATAGAGAGAGGGTCTCAAGACCTCTTGCTACAGCAGTTGTGTAGGAGGCTAAAGTGGGGAGGAAAGGTGTTCAGGGCATGAGCAACTGCCTGTGCAAAGTCGTGGAGGGGGGAGACGGAGGTCCTGGGAGATGGAGGAAGAACAAGTCAGGCTGACTGACTGGAGGAGGGGGTGAAGAGGAGTCACGTACTTTACTAAAGCTGGAACGGCAGGTGGGATTCAGGTTGTGGAGGACTTCAATGCCAAGCATGCCTGGCTTTTATCACAGAAGCAAGGAGGAGCCAGCAGAGGGTACTGCTCGGGGGGGGCATTCAGATCCTTGCTGGGGGTACTCCGATCCTTGCTGGGGGTACATTGAGGAGGTCACTGCAACTGCCTGGGGCACGTGGAAGGAAGAACGCTCTTTCTCTCATGTTGTCCCGCAACATCAACACAACAGCCCCCAGTGTCCCCTGGCCCAGCAAGTCATTATGATATCCATCCTTCTGACCTGGTGCTTCTGAAGGGAAGGGTGGCTAATTTAAGAATAACAAAAATGCTGCTTCTGTCAACGCTAACTCCCACTGCTGGGGTTGTCTTTGAAGGCCTCCCCATCAGACGCAGGCCCCTGCGTGGTTGCCGTTCAGCTAGCGGAGGCCACTGGGGAGCAGGGCCACCCCCTTCCTTCGTCCTCCCTCCTTGACCTCTGCTCAGACCCAACACACCGGGAAGTTCCGAAGGGGGGGTGCACCATCCCCCGCCATCAGCCCTGCTCCTGACCCATCACTTACAGCAAAGAGCAGGACACCCCACATCCACATGCACATGAAGGCTTTGCAAAGTGCCTTACAGACATCATCGACATTGCAGAGATGAGGAAACAGGGGCTCCCCCAGTGTGACTGACTTGCACGTGTTCACACAGATAACAGGCATTAAAAGCAGGACTGGAATCCTTGTCTTCATGACTCCAGGAATCTGCCCACTGCACCCACGACCCCATTCCACTTTGAGTATCTTAAGTCCCTTGGGAGCTAGTTGGAAATGAAGTTGGAGGAAGGTGGAACAGGCTTATCTGAGAGTTGGCCCTAAGGCGTTAGCAGATGCCACGTGCTGTCCAAGCAGCAGCTGGCATGAAGGGGAAAGCATTTATGAAGCACTTACTGCACACTGGGCAGTGAGTACACAAGGACAGAAAGCAAGATGCTCCGGCTCCCAAAGATGAGATAAGAAAAGAGGCTGGGTGCAGGACAGGTGGCAAGGCCCAAGGGACCTTATGTCACAGCGACGGGGAAGATGGCAGGGCCTGCTGGTCCCAGCTTACCAGAAGGCTGACTGGCTGCTTGCCATCCATCGTGTTCGAAGACATCACCCAGATGATGCTGGGGTCAGGGTCCAGTGCGTCCACCTGTACAGCTCAGGAGGTTCTACCACAGGTTGTCCATGAATACTCTGTGCACATCTGGGGTGGAGATGGCTCTAAATCTGAGCATCTCACATTTCTTTTGAGCTACTGCAATCCTGCTTTGCTCACAGCGCACAGAACCTTCTCTGATGAGGGCACGCCATGCTGAGCGGTCCTGTGCCAATGTGTCTCACGTCACACAATCGATTCCAGAGTTCTCCGGAGAGACCTTGAGAATGTCCTTGATTTGAAATGTGGCCAGCCCACTGGAGTTGAGCTCTCTGTAGCAGAGTTTGAATGCTTGGCAGTTTAGTTTGAAAAAAGACCTCAGTGTCTGGAACCTTATCCTGCCAGGAGATCTTCAGAATCTTCCTAAGACAATTTAAATGGAAGCAATACAGTTTCCTGGCATGGCGCTGGTAGACTGTCCAGGTTTCACAGGCATACAACAAGGAGGTCAGCACAGTGGCTCTGTAGGTAGACCTTCAGTCTGGTAGCCAGTCTAACACCTCTTCTCTCCCACACTCTCCTTCAGAGCCTCCCAAACACTGAACTAGCTCTAGCAATACATTCATCAACCTCATCATCTATGTGGACAGCCCTGGAAAGTCTATTGCCAAGTTAAGTGAGCTTATCAACGGCATTCGAAATTTCTCCATTTGCTGTAACCAATGGTCCCACGTATGGATGGTGGTGTTCTGGCTGGTGGAGCACCTGTTTTCTTGGTGTTAACCGTCGGCCCAAAATTAGCACAAGTGGTAGAGAATCAATCCATACTTTGTTACATCTCACCTTCAGAGGCTGCACAATCAACCTGAAGGCACACAATTAATGACTCCAATCTGAGTCAAGCTATGTGAGCAATAAAGCAGCCCATAGTGGTTCTCGGGTGGTCTGCGGTGAGGGGGGAAGGGACAGAATCTTGGCAGTGGGCCTTTTCACCTCTCAGACATTCTGGATGGGTTCTGAACAGCTGGGGTTGGAGGGATGGGGGAAGGGTACTCAGAGAAGGAAGGTCAGTCAAGTAGAGACGATGAGAGAGAACAGCTGGTCCCAAAAGGTCGTCCTGAACACTAAGTGGTCACTTTTGAAGGCCTCTTGTAGAGTGACCCTGTACCAAAGTCCCTAGTACAGTACACAGCTTCAGTTGGGGGAAGGGGGGAAGTGGCACAGGTGCAATGGGTCCCTTCAAGTGCAGGGTGAGCTCAGATTGATGACATCAGATGCTGATCAATGAAAGCAGCCTGAACTTCAGCAAAGATGAATCACATCAGAGACTTTTCAATCCTATTTTTCAAAAGCTTATCAAGTTAGTCAATTGGGAGTGCTGGCTTTCAGCAAAGCTTCTGACAGTCTCGTGTTATTCTCGTAAACAAGATGGCTGAGAGAAAAGGTGACAGCAAGCTGGGCTTGGGGTGGGCTCAGTGGCCAGGCCCAAAGTTTGATATCAGTTGGGAGGGAGGGCTCCGGGTGTCCCTCCAAAATCCCCACTTAGGTCCCTGCCGCTTATTCTCTAGGACACACTCATCAAATTTCCAAATCACAGAGAGCAAGGTGACGGTAGGGGACAGAGGGAGAGGATGTCTAACAGCAAGAATAAGAGAAGAGGGGGGCAGCTAGATGGCACAGTGGAGAGAGCACCGGCCCAGAAGTCAGGAGGACCTGATTTCAAATCCGGCCTCAGACCAAACACTTGACAGTAGCTGTGTGACCCTGGGCAAGTCACTGAACCCCAATTGCCTAAAAAAAAAAAATAAGAGAAGAGGAATCCAGAAAGGTTTCAAAAGGCTGAGACATTGGCCTGAATCTAATAAGATGGCCTCTCTAGTCCCTTCCATCTCTGAGTCTACAATTCTCTCAGCTCACATCCATTTATATTTGTGTCCAACCATAGCCTTAGACTGGGGAGAGACCTCAGAGGCTCTTCCAAGTAGAATGTCAAGTCTTGGAAGACAGGGGTTGTTTGTTCCTAGCCCCCAACAGAGCACCTCAGACATAGTGGGCCCAAGTGACAAAATGACCTGGCATGAAGGAGGGGAGAGAGTGTCCCTCTAAACTCTGGTAGGGCTGTACTCACTGGTTCAACCATACCCTGGGGGGCTGTGATCAGTTTGGGGGGACATTTTAGGGAAGCACATTGTTATCATCTAGAAGAAAGTGGCCATGATGGGGAAGGGGCCTTAAGATTACACCACAGGAGAACTGGAGATACTAAACCTGCAGACTCTAGGCCGGGGTGGGGCCACATTTAGCCCTTTAGGCCCTCAAGTGCAGCCCTTTGACTGAATCCAAACTTCACAGAACAAGTTAAGGGCCAAAGGCCAAACCTGAGGACCGAGAGGGCAACGTGTGGCCTCCAGGCCAAAGGTCCCCACCTCTGCACTAGGCCATGACAACCATCTTCAAATATTTGAAAAGCTCTCACTGGAAGAGAAACGAGGTGTGTTTTCCTCAGCTCCAAAGAACAAAACTAGAAGCAATGGGTAGAAGTTTAAAAGAGGTAGATTTAAGGAAAAAATACCCTTTAAATCAGCACTTTCCAAAAATGGAAGGGCTTCCTTAGAGGTGGAGGCCTTCAGGCAGAGGCTGGCTAACTGCAGCGAGCATAATCCTGGCACAGTGTGGGGGATGGGACTGCGCAAGAGTCTCACATCCTAGACCAGGGCTCAGAATGTGCAGGAAGCTCACACTGCCATTTCTACTTCAAAGCCTAAGGGCCATGCCTGGGGCTTCTGCTGATGTTCAGTCTTTTCACTCTGATGAGCTCCTGACCCCACCTGGGGCTTTCTTGGCAAAGATACTGCAGGGGGTTGCCATTTCCTTCTCCAACTCACCTTACAGATGAGGAAACTGAGGCAAATAGGGTCAAGTGAGTCACCCAGGGTCACACAGCTAGTAAGTGTCTGAGGCCAGACTTGAACTCAGGAAGATGAGTTTTTTTTTTTTTAAAGACAATAAAAAGTGCATTTCAGTCAGCATTTAGTGGATATTCTTCATCATTGATCCTTTGGAATTGTCTTGGATCATTTTTTATCAGAGTAGCTAAATCTTTCACAGTTGATCATCTTTACAATATTGCTGTGTACAGTCTCCCCCAGGTTCTGCTCACTTCACTTTTTATGAGTTCGTATAAATCTTCCCAGGTTTTTCTTGCAGAATATTTTTGGTG